TTTGAAAGATTGCAAATTCCTTGTAACTTGTCAGACTCCAAAGAACATCTGCTGTACAAAAGGGAAGGAAGCAGAAGTGGCCACCTAATTCCAGACCCCATAAAACAAAGGAATCACAAGTCTCGGAACTAAAGGAAATCTCCGCATTCACTTTCCTGCAGTAATCCTACTGTCTGCTTCTAGTCACATTTCACCACTGCTAAGACTGCCTCTCAATTCCTTCTCAGAAAGGTCTATGGTGGACTTTCTACCAATGTCTAATGGATACCACAGACTGTGCAGATCTTATCAAATGCAAAATATCAGAACTAAAATTCTTCCCCACAACCATGTTTTTGAAATAAATCAGTAAGAAAATAAGGTTTACTTTAAGTACAAACTTATCTGTAACCCACCTGCCATCATGTGAGGAATAACTAATAGTATTTGTGTCTCATCAGTGAGACACTAAGTAGAGGAGACAAGTGAAAACACCTCCCTTCCCACCTCACCCCCGCACCCCCCACCCCACCCCACTCCATGTGTTTTCACCTGTCTCCTCTACTTAGAAATGGGTTTATGGGTTTCTATAAACCCACTGCCATATCTGCTCATAATTCCACATAAGAATATAGGGTGATCATAACTACACCTAATAATACAGCTGTCCTTTGAGTAATACTGTCACTGTTCAAGGCTTGGCCAGTAATCAGATTAGTAAACAATGTGTATGCCTCTGGCATAATTTTTCCAGGTTTTAAAAAATTTTCATTGGCTTGGCAACTGGAGAGTTCATGTAATTTGTCTTCTGTCTCTTAGGCTTACATTCAGAAATACATGAGGCTTCCCCTTCCATAATGAAAGCTTTTTTTAATGGTAAATAAGTTTAAATAATACATAAATATATTGACAAAGTAAAGGTGACTTAAGACGTCTGCTATCCTGTAATGGCAATTAATCTTTTGGGAACTATTCTCTTAATATGTTCTCTCAACATTTATACGTCACTCGTAAATAATTCAGCATACACTTACATATAACCACATTATCATTATCACCCATAAGAAAATTAACAATTATTTCATATTATCCGGAGCACATTCTGATTTCCTAAATTGCCCCAAAATGTCTTTTATAGCTTTGTTCACTTATCCAGGATCCACTCAAGATTTACTCTTTGCAGTAGGTTGTTATCCTTGTCTTTCAATACAACATAGTTCTTTTGTTTTCATGGCATTTCGGGTTGAGTATCCTTTATCCGAAATGCCTGGGGCCAGAAGTGTTCCCGATTTTTTCAGATTTTGGAATATTTGCATTATACCAGTTGAGCATCTGAAATCCACAACCCCAAAATCCAAAATGCTCCAAAAGGCATTTTCTTTGAGCATCATGTTGGCACTCAGAAAGTTTCAGATTATGAGGCATTTCAGATTTTGGATTTTTAGGCTATACACTGTTTGATTTTAGTAAGGCAATTTCATGTCCAGTGTTATGATTTGAACGTTTATGTCTCCTCCAAAATTCAAGTGGACACCTAATCTCCAACACAATAATATTAAGAGGTAGGGCCTTTAGGAGGTGACCTACTGGGGAGGCCCTCCCTCATGAATGGAATTAAAGCTTTTATAAGAGAGTCTTCACACTAAGTTCAGCCCCTTTTGGCATTCCACTTTCCACCATGTGAGGACAAAGTGTTCCTTCCCTCTGAAGGATGCAATCAGACACTATCTTGGAAGCAAAGGGACCAGGCCCTCACCAAACACCAAACCTGCAAAGAACTTGGACTTCCCAGTCGTCAGAACTATGAAGAAATAAAGTTCTGTTCTTTTTAAGTTACCCAGAGTCTGTGGTACTGTTATAGCAGCACAGACTAAGAAAGATATCTAGGGAAATCTCTTCGAACAAGGTGTTATCTGAAAAACAAAGAGAAGACCACATACCTGTTTTTTGAACTTGAAGTTGAATTCCCACATTGGTTCCTGTCTGTTCCCAACAATCTTTCTGCACCAGAAAAGTAAGCACTATAAGAAAGTAAAAATAAACCAAGAAAAAGAAAAAGAAAAAAATCAAAATACACTAATCAAAATAATCAGCAAAAACCTTTCTGTTTGACAGCTCTAAAGCCAGCCACAGTCCCAATGCTGAGATTTTACTTTGGCACAGATAGACTCCCAAGTTGACACTGGTTCAACATAAAAACAGACAATCCCAGGGCTGTTCAATAAGGAGAGGAGGGACCAATATAAGTCAACCTCAGAGGTTACTGACATCAACCCCTATTGTTCTTATCTTCAAAGACAGAAACGTGGTATCTAGAGACTGGGGCATCCTCTCTGATTCAGCAGGCTAATCCTCTACATTAAAATGTAAGGAGAGCCAGCAGCCACCAGGCAAGATGATACAAGGCCATAAGGTAGGCAGAGAGGCTGGCCCTATAATAGAAGCAAACTGCTCAGGACCCTCTGGGAGCAGACAGCCAGTAAGGAAACTACAGAGCTAGGCTGAATTCTGTCTAGAATAAGCCCCTCAGTGAAAGCCAGGCTACAGCTAGGGTTAAGCACAAGAAGTGAAGTACCTCCCGGGGGATAAGGGGTGGGTCGTCCGCCGTGCCAGCTGTCCTGCCCTTCAGACATGCCCTGTACGTCCTGCTGTTCCATCAAAATTAATGGGCTTGGCTTTAAGGGGAAAACACTTCTGCTGCCATCACAACGGCTCCAGTGTCCCACACAAGCTATGCTACTGAAAAGAGAGAGAGGGGGAATCAAATACGAAAAGCTGGAGTCCAGGAACATGGGACAACTTCCTTTAGGCATGCTGGCAACTCCCTGAATGCCACACAATCATGGGTATACAAGTGGCAAGGCCAAGCATGGGACACCTGCCACTGCAGGCCCCACACCCTCTTCAGAAGATCTCTAACAAGGCACAAAAGCAGCAGCCAGATGGCCTAGGCTTACTATCTGGATTAAGACCTTAGTTTTCATTCTACTTTGGCTTTTTACAGTCCACTTTAAAAAAATTAATAGACAATGATAAGAATATGAAGATGGGGTATTTTAGAATTTAGGCAGTAGCACTTGCATTGTGCACTGGAGCCGCTAAGATGTGTCAAGCATGAGGAGTTTGCCCAATGCTGCTCTGCTCCCAGCAATTGATTCACTCCTGGCAGGGCTAACTTTCAGATGATCCCCACGCTCACCACAGTTAATCTGATACTATCAAATGTTTTGGGGGAAAGGGACACTGTAAATGTGAGAAGATACACCGTCCACTCATATTACAAGCAGAAGCAGCTGCTGGGTGAAATCCTACTCTCCTGGCATTCTACTCCTTCTCTAAATCCACCAGTTAGCATGATATTAAATTGAGCTCTGCCAATGGCCCTGACCACCTCAGTTTACAAGGCTGGGGGGAACCTCGATAATCTTGAAATCAATAGCACCCTTTTAATTAATATGTATCAGGTAGAATATGATCACCCTAGAGCTAAACTGGGGGAGAAGAATCATTATATAATGTCCAATACCATAAAAACAAACTACAAGAGAATGGGAAATGCTATGGAACATCAGATTTGAGGTAGGAACAGAGTAACCTTGTTTGGCAAAGGTGATTTAGTAATTTTATCAGGGAGGAGAAAAAGAGAGAATGGACCAAAGGCTAGTAGACATATTTACAAATCAGAAGAATGACAGACTTGAATATAAATGTATGAATATAAAATATCAGGGAAATCCTGAGACAAAAAAGAGCCTAGAACACAGAAAGAACTTGAGAGAACTAAGGTTTATGAATCAGGGTACCTTATAGTCTATGAGATGACCTACCAGAGCCTGGCAATAGCCTGGCACAGGGCACTTCCAAATGCTACAGAAGTCAAGTCTACACCAGAGTCCTTTAAGAAGGTCAACAATAAAGGGGAATCCCTGATGTCAAGGTTGCATTAGAAAGAGAAAAACAGTGAGACGTTCACGTCATACCTCTGTACCGTGATTTAAAGCCCCTCTTAAAAATTACAGCATACATCTACCATTTCAGTTATGCTCTTCCTAGCCCAAACCATCAAAACCATTATATCTAAAGGGGTCCAATGTACAATGTATGAAAATAAATTAAAATAAAAAGAATAAAGAATACACTAAAAGCACAGGAAAGCTTTAAGGTAAGTATAAGATAAGCCAGCTAGCACAGCAGAAAGGTCTTGGAGAAGTGAAATCTCTGAGCCCTGAAAGTTTACATTAGTCCCTTAGCAGCCTGGGACCTACACCCCTCCCCATCAAGGAAGTTGGAGACAAGCCATGATAACAGGCCTACCATACAAGAGTCCATTAGTCAAACCCCAACACAAATTCTCACTTACTTTGGAATTCTTCAATGTGCTGGGGGTGCTTTCTGGAATGGCTGGATTCTTGGAGATTCGAGCAGCAAATGGCTCATACATATGGTACAGAGATCGGATCACACAAGCCCGGAGACAGCGCAGCTTCTCCATTGACTCTGGTCGCAGACGCAAAGGCAGGGAAGCATCCAGCGTGTAGTGCCTGAAACATGACACATTACTCCTACCAATATGTGACCTGTCTCTCCTGCTCTAGGTCAGTCTCCTAAGACTCCTGGTCTCTGTATGAACTTTACTGCACTATTCCACTGGCCAGTAGGTAGCTTGTCCCCAGTGCTACTTGACCTCTTGGCAACTTTTACGTCTTTGCCTTGTAATCCTGCAGTTCACCATCCATTTTTAAAGTTGAAATCCTCACTTTTTTCCTGAACACAAGAGCAAACTCTGAATTGGTATCAGTATATTATGCTTTAACTGCTCAAAAAGAACCTGTCCTAGAGGAACCTATACTGGAGATGAGCCACCAGGTTCTCCTGTCAGGTCTACAATGAGTTCTCTACTCCTTTCTACTTCAACATTCCTTCCCACCACAGCCTGACAGTTTACAATTGTCACTACACTTCCACACCTAGCATCAAAAATAAGCCCTTTTACTAATCACATAATTTACCTATTCCTCACCACTACAACTATACATAAGGCTGCATAAGTACAAAAACTGTGTAATACTTAAAGACGACTAGCAAATCAAAGCAACACCTAATCCAGCTGAAAAGATGAGCAGATAGGCATCTGCAGCTTTGAACATTGTAGCTAAAATAAGCCTCTGAAGAAAAGTCAAAGACAGTTCTCTCTGGGACTTGAAGCAAGACATTTTGCTGAAACTGGATACTGGAGTGGGGAAGGAGGCAACCACATGGAAGACAATTACCTGGATAATTAATAATATCAAATTTAAATTAGAGAGGAGCTCAAGGAGTCCAAAGCTGGGTCATGCCCAGACAACATGGAGTAGAGAAAGTGAAAAGAGGTCACCATCCAGTGAGTAGCTCCAAATCACAAACAGTAATGAAATCAGCTACACAGATAAAAGAGTGAGGTCTCTGTGGTCGCACCTTCGGTACAACCTGGTCCAAAAGGCAGCAGTGCAAGTGACAGTCCAGGCATTCTTACAAATCAGGGAAAAATTCACAATGTCCTCAGGACGGATATAGGAGGCCAGCAACAGCCAAATATCCATGGGATACTCTTCTCCTCCAGCCCCGTCCAGTTCTTCTGAAACAGAAAAAAGAATAATCTCTGATCTTCTACACACATATCTAAAGATACTCGATCATTTCATTTCTCCCAAGGATTGCACAGTTAAGAAAATGGTTTTAAATAGGTCCACGGAAACCGTTCAAACTTATCATTTCCTGCTCATCTTAGCTGCTGGAAACTTTTACCTCCTGTTGCCCAAGTAAATAGGTTTTGTTCTTAAGGCCTTTACTTAACAACTATTGGCAATACCATTCTGAAGTTTTACTTTTTTTTTGAGACAGAGTCTCACTCTGTTGCCCAGGCTGGAATGCACTGGTGCAATCTCAGCTTAGTACAACCTCCGCCTCCCAGGATCAAGCGATTCTCATGCCTCAGCCACCAGAGTACCTAGGACTACAGGCACGCTCCACCGCACCCAGCTAAGTTTTTAGTAGAGATGGGGTTTCACCATGTTGACCAGGCTGCTCTCGAACTCCTGGTCTCAAGTGATCCACCCGCCTCGGCCTCCCAAAGCGCTGGGATTACTGGCATGAGTCACTGCACCTGGCCATCATTTTGAAGTTTCAAAAGTGCCTTTTCACACATTGTATCATTCAACTCTAATAATTCTTCAATAGAATAAGAAAAATATTATTGCACCCATTTTACTAATAAGAAAAAAAAAACCTTGTCACTCAAAGGAAATAGAACCAAGATTTTCTGACTCCGAATTCCAGCTTTATGCTATTAAGCCCTGCTCTTGGTTTCTCTTTAAGTCTCCACCCAATAAACATTTTCAGTCGGGAAAAAAACAAAATTGACTTTAGGATGGTATAGGGAGGCTGGGCACAGTGGCTCATGCCTATAATCCCAGCACTTTGCGAGGCCAAGGCAGGCGGATCACGAGGTCAAGAGATTGAGACCATCCTCATGGTGAAACTCTTGTCTCTACTAAAAATACAAAAATCAGCTGGGCATGGTGGCACATGCCTGTAATACCCAGCTACTTGGGAGGCTGAGGCAGGAGAATCGCTTGAACCGGTAGGTGGAGGTTGCAGTGAGCTGAGATGGCACTACTGCACTCCAGCCTGGGTGACAAGAGTGAGATTCTATCTCAAAAAAAAAAAAAAAAAAAAGGATGGTATAAGGAAATCTCAAAGTACAAATTAAATTAAAAAACCAGATAAGTTACAGTGCATTCTCATCACACACAACTACCTGTAAACATGTTTTTTTCCTTCTAGTTTCTCCTTGTTTCATTGCAAGTTTGACCTATGATCCTTGCCAGAGACACCCAGTCACTCTTTAACAACATATCCATGCTGGGTGCAATGGCTCACGCCTGTAATCTCAGTACTTTGGGAGGCCAAGGCAGGTGGATCACGAGGTCAGGAGTTCAAGATCAGCCTGGCCAAGATGGTGAAACCCTGTCTCTACTAAAAATACAAAAAAATTAGTTGGGCATGGTGGTGGGCGCCTGTAATCCCAGCTACTTGGGAGGCTGAGGCAGAGAACTGCTTAAACCTGGGAGGCGGAGGATGCAGTGAGCCAAGATCATGCCACTGCACTCCAGTCTGGGTGACAGAGTGAAACTCCATCTCAAGAAAAAAAAAAAAAAGTATCCCTCTCTCTTACTTCTTCACTCATTAGTGTTAATTCTCCTGACCTTGATGTCTACTATACTTCTCAGGTTCAGTTAATACACATGCTTTGTAAAGATACCTGAATCTGAGCTAATCCTAACCCTAACCCTTATTTCAAATCTAGTCATAGAACTATACTAAAATTATCAGCTTTCTTCCTTCCTGGGGAAAAAGCCCTTACACCATCTCCCCAAAGTTGCCCCTGCTTTTCTAGCTAACTACTTCCCACAACTCTATGATTAGATCAAGTTCTTCGGCTAGGTTCTTCACAACAGAGACCCAATATGTCTAAAACATCTTTTCTAATTCTTATCCCTCTTATAATCTCCAGTAATCATGCAAGACTCAGTCTACCATGTCCAGGCCCCACTTTCTCCCATATTACCTCTTCTCTCTTTGAAAGAGAAGGCAAACAACAGTTAAAATTTCCTCTATTGTGGCTGACTGCAGTGGCTCATGCCTGTAATCCCAACACTTTGGGAGGCCAAGGTGGGAGGATGGCTTGAGCCCAGGAGTTCAAGATCGGCTTGGGCAACACAGTCTCCATAAAAAAACTTAAAAATTAGCCAGCCATGGTGGTACATGCCTGTAGTCTCAGCTACTCAGGAGGCTGAGGTGCAAGGATCAATCGAGCCCAGGATGTCGAGGCTGCAGTGAGCCATGACTGCACCACTGCAATCCAGCCTGGGCAACAGAGTGAGTCCCTGTCTCAAAAATCCAAAACAAAAACCAAAAAAACAAACAAAAATTTCCTCTACTGAGACCCATAAGGACTTTTACAAAGCAGAGTGCTATCAAAAATGTTGTCTTTAGAGACAAAATTTAGTAAACAATGAAGAACTGTCAGTGTTTTATACATAATTATTAAGAGTTTTCAAAACGAAGTAAATAGAATCAGTAAATGAAAGCTTCATGGAGGTAAGTCATGAAGGACATGAAGAATTTTGACAGGCATAGGTTAACAGGAAAAGCATGTCAAGTGAATAAATGCTAACACGAAACCAAGGGACTCAGAAAAGCAAAACATGTGAGAACAGTAAACAGAACAGTCTAACAAGATTTTAATGACATTGAGAAATTACTGTTAAGTCTTTTAGATGTGATAATGGTATTTTTAAAAAGATAACTACTAAGATATTTACAGAGATGATGATGGTATATCTGGAAATTGTTTCAAAATAACCCAGCGTGTGTGTGTGTGTGTGTGTGTGTGTGTGTGTGTGAGTGAGAGAGAGAGTAATGGCTGAAGTAAAAATGGCCGTGAGTTGATAGCATATAAAAACAAAATGGTAATTTAAAAAAACTTTTTTTTTTTTTTTTTGAGACGGAGTCTCGCTCTGTCACCCAGCCTGGGGTGCAGTGGCCGGACTCAGCTCACTGCAAGCTCCGCCTCCCGGGTTCACGCCATTCTCCTGCCTCAGCCTCCCGAGTAGCTGGGACTACAGGCGCCCGCCACCTCGCCCGGCTAATTTTTTGTATTTTTTAGTAGAAACGAAAAAAAAACTTTTTAATAGCTATGAGTTGATCACTGTTGAAGCTGGGTAATAGTTATACGGAGTTATAATCAGACTATTCTCTCTTCTTCTACATGTGTCATTAAAAAAAAGGCTTTTTAAAAAAAGAAGAAAAATACATTACACCTGCTAAAATAATAAAATAAAAAGAAATTTAAAAAGAAAAAAAAAAAGACCAGTCTGATGGAATGGAGAAACCTAACGGAGGTAAAGTAGAATAAGGAAGTAAAATATGAATTATGGTTAAGAGCCTGTAAGCCACAAATCATATATCTGGTAAGTGACTGGTAATCTGAATAGATAAAGAAGTCTTACAATTCAGTAATAAAAAGACAGCTGGGTGCGGTGGCTCACACCTATAAACCCAACACTTTGGGAGGCCGAGGCAGGTGGATCACCTGAGGTCTGAAGTTCGAGATCGAGACCAGCCCGACCAATATGGAGAAATCCGATCTCTATTAAAAATACAAAAAATTAGCTGGGCATGGTGGCGCATGCCTGTAATCCCAGCTACTCGGGAGGCTGAGGCAGGGGAATCGCTTGAACCTGGGCAGCAGAGGTTGCGGTGAGCCGAGATCACGCCATTGCACTCCAGCCTGGTCAACAAGAGCGAAACTCCATCTCAAAAAATTTTAAAAAATAGTAATAAGATAATCCAATTTAAAATGGGCAAATATCATTAGCCATAGGGAAATGCAAATCAAAACCACAAGGAGACAAATACTAATCCACATACACTATAATTTAAAAAGTCAGACAATAATAAGTGTTGGTAAGGATGTAGAGAAACTGCAACTCTTATACACTGCTGGTGGAAATATAAAACGATGCACACACTTTGGAAAATGGTTTGGCAATTCCTCAAAAAGTTAAACACAGAGTTTCTGTATAATACAGCAATTTCACTCCTATCTAACCAAAAATGAAAAAACCTACATCCACAGAAAAATTCATCCATGAATGTTCATAGCAGCAAACAAAAAGGAATAAAAAAGAATGAGATACTGATACATGCATACTATGGATGAACCTTGAGAACATTATGCTAAATGAAAGAAGCTACATGCAAAAGACTATATATTGTATGATTCCATTTACACGAAATGTCAGAATAGGTGAATCTGTAGAGATAGAAAGTAGATTAGTGGTTTCCAAGGACTGGAGGAGGGTTTGGAATGAGAAGGGATGCTAATAAGTATGGGGTTTCTTTTCAGAGTAATGGAAATGTTCTAAACTTAGACCATGTTGATGGTTGCACAACTCTGTGAATATGCTAAAACCACTGAATTGTACACTTTAAAGGAATAAATTTTATCTCAATTTTTTCTTAAGTCTAAGCCATTCTGTGGAACAAGTCCAAAACAAGATAAATCCCTAATAGAATGGTGATAGGTAGCAATTTTAAGTTAAAAATTAAGGACAAATAAGTATGAAGAATGTCAATACTGGCTGAGTATCCCTCATCAGAAACGCTCAGGACCAGAAGTGTTTCAGATTTTGGCTTTTTCCGCACTTTGGAATATCCTGACTGTACTTATTGGTTGAGCAGCCCTAATCAAAAATCAGAAATCCGAAGTACTCCAATAAGCATTTCCTTTCAGCATCATGTCAGTGCTCCAAAAATTTCAAATTTTGGAGCTTTTCAGATTTGGAATGCTCAACCTGTATTAATTTTTGGATCCTGAAAAAGAGGAATATGACTAACAATAACTGGAGTAATTCCAAAGCAATCCTACCATTAATTTCATTAACTTATTACTTCAATATACTTTAACA